CTTTCCTCTCCAAAATATTGGATGGTGGCAAGTGGAGAGCCGAGAGCCAGCGGCTGGGCGTCTCAACTGGTGCACTGGCCCTCTAGTGATTTATGGCGTCTGTGCTGGTCATTCAACTGCATTTGATTTAGGTTGTAAATTGTTGTATGTTTCGGCGGCCATTGCCAGCTCTCAGCTTCCTGCTTATGTTTTTATCCTTCGCTAATGAATTTATTGCACATTTTTGTGTGTGAATGGCTGGGAAAAAAACCAAATAATTTACCACATACTACTAACACAATCTATATATGGTTTTAAAAATGTATTCAAATTTAGTTTTGGGTAAGCCAATTTAAGGTATTGACTGGGTGAAATATTTCAATAAAAACGAGAAGGGACGTGTAAGACGCTTCTTACGCGTCACAACTTTTATACCGGGCACTCAGAACTGCACCTTAGCGATTATTTGTCAAATTTTACATTTTTTCTTCATCTGCATCTACATCTACAACACTTCTCACACCAGCACGCTCTTTTAGCTCGCCCCCCTTCCCTAGACCCACACACTGCAGACTCGCGGCAGAGGCAGTGGCCGCACCCTGCAGAAGCAGAGTGTGAATGAGAGAATGTGAAAAAAACAAATATAAGCAGCGGGGCGGGATGGGTTTAGCCACTGCATATTAATTTCTTCATTCTGGCTATAACAATGGTCCAATCGGATCCCAATTCGGTGATCTGATAGATATGCTCATTCCCTACGGAATGGGATTTTTAATTGTTTTTTATCTTCAAAGTTGTAGGTTTGGGAGGTTTTCGCTCTTTTGCGAGGGCGGAAGGGGGCGGGGCTCATTTTTGAAATACAGTTGTAAAAGTCTGAATGCAAAACTTGGTGGCTCTAGCTTTTATGGTCTTAGATCCAGGCGCTCAACAAGACGGACGGACCGACAATCGGACAGACGGTTCAATCGACTCGGCTATTGATGCTGATCAAGAATATATATACTTTATGGGAGTTACATGCATTCACTTTGTGCACAAATACCATATACCCTATTTACTCTTCGAGTACCGGGTATAAAAACCAAATTTAATGTGTCACTCCCTAACCTGTACTCTGTTGATCTTTATAGTTCTGGGTACAAAGATTTCGAGCTTCTGCACAATTCTATATGACAACAATTACTTCCCATATTAGTTCCCCCCTAATGCCCCAGACATTTCCAACATGCACATGGAAAATCACCAGCCAGTGTCATCCGTTAAGAAACCATATACTTGCGCTGGCATTCCAAAGACAATAAATCTAGTGGATTTCCACAAAATCACTCAGCGATCATTAGGGGGCAACAGACAACAACAAACAGTTTCTTTATATTTCCTGAACTTGAATTAATTTTTCACAAATTGTTTTGTTGCGGTCTTTAGCGAAGGTGTGAGTCGTCTATGACAGCCATAGGATTATCCTTGGCGAAAAGGGGAAAGTTATAAGCGAGCGAGGAAGAAGAGAAATGCCAAAAAGCCCTGACACTTGGACGTGAGCACACAAATAACACTTAACACAATGGAAAACAAACTTTTCGACTAATGACAGTCCAAGTAGCAAACAATTTATCGAGTGCCAGAAAAGGAGTAGCAGTCAGCCAGGCAGCCAGCAGTTAGCCAGAAGTCAGCCAGCAGCCAACCAAGTTACACTCTCTTCAGCAGAGAAGACTTCCTTCTTGCCAAGTCATTAATCTTGTTTTGCTTTGCTCGATAGAGAGACGGAGAGAAGCAGACGAGGGAGTGTGCAAGTCAGCAGGAGTTCCCAATACCAATTCCCGACCATGTCGTCGTTATCCTTTCAAGCGTGAACACATGTGATTACGTCTTGGCTGTGTTTCGGTCTGTGTGTGTGTGTGTCCTTTTTGCCAGTTTCCGCATTTTCCTGCGCCAGGCAGGCTGCCATGATTAAGTGCCATTTTGAAAAGTACGAAAATAGTGTTGGTCATGGCCTCTCTAGACTTCCAACTTACCTCGCCACCCCGGCAATGTCAAAGTGTCAATGATATATGTTATACGCATCGATAAGACTCCCAATCGCCCACTCACTCAACCAACAACCATTCAACCACTCTGTGGATTAACGGGTATTGAGAATGGCTTCCCCTGGTAAGGTATATCCTGGTTTGGCAATGGAGGTGAGGTGGGAGACTCTCGACAAAATATGTTGCACGTGAACAAAAGCCTGTCTAGCAAAATCAGTGCACGTTCAGACAATAACTAAGACAATAATAACAATAATAATAGTTGGTCATATATATTGTGGATTTTCCACTACCGAAACTGCCCAGTCCAGCCGACTCTGTGGAATTTTCTGTGCTGTGTGAAATATTATTTGGCCATGAAATAACATAATCTTAAAATTACTTTGAACAACTTTTATTGGAATTTAAGGAATAATTTACACAACATTAAAAATCTTTCTACAAAGCAACTAGGCCCAAATTTAAGATAAACTATTTTCCTGAATGTTAAATATATATATGGATGTGTTTTTGGTAGACAACAAAATATCTTCTGCACCTGCTTTATTCCTTTGCTTTTTATTTGATAAGTTCAGAGAATTTTGTATGAAAGCTGACTGATTTACGTTTGTTTTTCCCATTTGGATTTTTTGTATGCGAATCGATTTGTTAATCAATTTATGTTGAATAGCTAGGGCTTGAGCGCTTTGCGATCAGAGTGAGGTGCCTCGACACCGGAGAATAGATTACGAAATATATTTAAAATATTTATTATTCAACATTTGAAGTATATTTTAATGCCTTTAGGGTATCGAGAGGCCATTCTGATGGATTGTTTTGTATGTAAGCTGGTTGTTAGATAATTAGATTCACTTTGTTTTTGGGGAAACGATCTTCAACGATCTTCTCAAGTAGGCGCGAAATTTATCCTCATTCACAGTCCTCATTCCCACCCATTTCACAAATTTCCAAGTACTCTCGATATGATCGCGATGCCAGGCCAACAGGCGAGAAGGCAACAAGACTGATCTCAGATTATGTATTCTTTAGGCCAGATAGGACCGAAAAGATCTAAAAAAAAATAGAAAGAGTGCGAGAGAAAAGGCAATCCAACCGGAAAAAATCAAAGACAAAACAATGATCAAAGCTGTCATTACAGATCGAGGGGAGGTCTTTGATCTTGCACCGCAATGTGGCATGCTACACACACCCCGTGGAGGGAATGGGAATCGGTTTTTCGGGATTGCCTTCAATTTTATGTTTTGTTTTTATTTGATTTTCGCTTTGTTCTATCAATCAGCGCCTACTACTTTTGCGACGCAGACCGCTCAGTAGGAGGATCCGATCGGAGCGTGTGTTTTTCTTACTTTTTCACATCATAAAAACACATTAACAACAACAACAGAGACATGTTAATTTCGTTTAAAAATAAAATAGAAAAAATAATTGCTGCTGCTGCTGCACCACTCCGCTCCTTCCCCATCGATCGATCGATCCGCATGGTCGGAAGTCGTCTCTTCGCGGGTCTATTGAGAAAGCTGTAATTTCGGTTTTGTTGTAGCATTTTGTGGATTTCCTGGAATTTATAGGGAAATTATCTTTTGTTTCTCCCTGGAGCTTCGATTGTTTTTTATTCTCTCTTTTATTTTTTTCGTTAGGTTTTCTTTTTCGCTGTTTCAAATGTTTAAAATATCTTAATCATGGTTCATCGCATTAGCTAATTAATTGAGGGCTTCAAGAAGCAAGGGTGTAAGTAATAGCTTCCAAATAAGGCAGCAAAGTAAAACGTTATGGGAAAAATGGTAAACTAAAGACAAGCATTTTCCATAAATCCATATATGTACATTTCTACCAAATATTTTAAATTAAATATTTTATCAAGGTTGCAGCGAGTGTTTGTCATTTTAGCTGTACTGGAAGTTTGGTAACCACATTCCGCCTTCGCACCGAGCCGCCAAAGCTCCCGTAGTGCAACACCTAAAGCTGTTAAGGCACCTCTGCTCCCAAGTGCAGGCACATCCAGTACCACGATCGCCAAAGGCCCACCAGCAGCAGGACCAAAAGACCGTCTTCGGACACAAAGGCAATCGTTTAATGAAGAGATCATTGGACCATTGGATACAGTGACAGCAGCATGCTGGCCGACTGATCAGCGTACTTACCCAAGTAATTGGTAAATTGGTTTCCTGGCTTTGTATTTTTAACAAATAAAATAAATATACATACGTACATATATATGCTATACAGAAGCAACAAGCCAGCATATTTACGAAAAGATTTTGGTTTGTTGGCATTTCAATTATTTATATTTGTATCCAGTCTAAAGACCACAAACGTGACGCAGACAAACAAAACAGCTGCAAATTTTTTTAAACAATGTTTTGTGGAACCCACAGAAAATGTTTTTCGTCTTAGCAATTAAATTTATGGCATTTAAAACCCCTTTCTCAGACGCACTCGGGGTACAAATTTAGATTGCAAACAGAAGACGAAGACGATGGTGGACAGACAGAAGTTTTTCTAATAAAAATCACGTAAACTGTCGCCTTAATTTCAAACGAATCGAAACGATTCCACCACTTGACAAAACACCACCTCAAATAATTCAACTTAAGCACGATTCTGTGCCTCTGAACCATAAATAAAGAATGTAGGCTCCACCAGCAGCAGTCTATTCTGAGAACCCTTTCAATAGAAAAGAAAAAAGGCCTATAAATTCAAACAGAAACCACAAAGAAACTCACATGATGGAAATTTATGTAATGCCTTCGCAGAAGCCGATGCCGATGCAGCGCAATGTAGTGACAGATTAAGCAGGGTGGTGATCAGATCTCCACCAATCTCGTCTTGATTCACTGATTACCCTGTGGCTACTGTATCCGCAGAAATGACATACTCAAGTGTTAAACATTTTTAAGTGTTTTTGTTTTTACACGGTTAATAAATCACACAGTTTTCCAAGCAGGCCAGCCAGAGAGAGCGAATGAGCGAGAGAGAGGGAGGTGTTGAGAGTTAAACGTTTTTATTTAATTTTCTAGAAATCTGTGACGCGTCCCTTGCGCTCCCAGTCACCGTAGCGTGTGGGCTCTGGTCCCGCCGGGCCACCGATTTCACCAGTATGTGGATTGGTATTGTTGGGCCACGGCACCAAGGGATCTTTCTCGTGCGCTGGATGTGGTGCACCTTTGGGCAGGCATGACAGAGGCGCCTCCGAACGTAGCTTTTCCCGGAATTTAAGATAGCGTTTGCTCAGGTGACACTCCTCGGGCTTGGACTCCTCTTTTGCTATTTCCTTGAGGGTTTGTTGCACATCACTTTCGTTGAAAAAAGCTCGTTTCAGCTGCTGCTCTTTGGGGATCGCTGCCTTTAAGTGCGCCTCTTCATTGACTGCTTCTTTCTGCTCCATCTCAGCGCCGAGCTCTTTGGCCGCCTCGTTCTTCGTTTCGCTTTGCGGAGTGACCCCCAAGCTACGGCAATTCAAAAATTGCCCATTAAGAGAGCGGCCAAAGCGTAGCATTGTGAAATTTAGTTACTTAGATTCTGTAAAGATTTAATTTTAGAATTAGTTTGAAAAACAAACTTTTTTGAGTTTCGTTTTTTGACAGAAATTATTTTTCAATGCTGTCACTAAGTCCATAAAAACTTAATTTATGCAACATATTACCTATGTATAACATATACAACATTGTACTCAAAACTTATGCCCAACAATCTCCTAAGAGCAGATCTCTCCCAAAGGGTATATAAAATGCAAAAATGTTATTCCTGATGACTTTTTCATTTCACAATACATTCGATCCAGTTGAGTGGATCCACTGACACGATACACACAAACATCTCGTGTCCAAACACAATTTGACATGGCTCTGGGCTAACTGACAGCGCGCAGATCAAATTTCTGTCTCTATCGGGAAGAACTCGAACCCAAACCCAACTCGAATGGACACATCCAAAAGCCGTTGAAGCAGTGCCAAACAAGCAGTGAGAGACTCACTGACTCTATGACCGACTGACAAGAGCGACAGAGTCTAATGACTTTGAAGCAGCAACAACAGGAGCAATAACAGCAGCAGCTGCGATAGAGATAAACTTCCGGAAACGAGTAGCAGTCTGTCTGCGGCACTATGAGTCAAGTCAAAGTCTTTGGGTTTGCTGCTGTCAAGTGTGTGGCAGCGTTTTGGGTTACCCCTTCGGGTGCTTGCTCTCTCTCTCTCTCTCTCTCTCTCATTTCATTTTTAATTAAAAGCTAGAGATCTCTTTCTCTCTCACATGCTCTGATCGTGTCATTCAAACATGGGTTGATTTCGCGCACACAGATACCTACTCTCGTACCTCCTCGACATGCAACGTGCATCGGTGCAATCGGATCAACTTCAAAGCATTTTAAATATGGCTTTTGCAGAGAGAATCATTCACCGCAAAAGCAACAGCAGCAGCATTCTTCAGAAGATCCGCTTGTCATTGGGGGTTTCTTTTTTCTGCAAATTTGTTCTGCTATCCAAACATCCCACTCGAAAATCGGCTGTGGCTACTCCACATTCAAAGTGCCGGACTGTCAGGCGGAGATTTGCCTTGCATTCATTCCATGCCATTCCATACCATGCCCAACGTTCTCTTCTCTCTGTCTTTATCTGTCAGCTGGCAACTGCCAGTCGTCGCGTCGGTTCTCTTGGGGTCTACTGGTCTCCTTTCTGTGTTTTGCGCGCGGAATTGAAATTGTTGCCTTAACGTCGGCATGACAATAATCTCGCAAATCTGTTTAAATTGAGCGAGACAAATGTTCCATTCTGGCCTCACGGACGATTCCACTCGGGGCAGAATGTGGCCAAGGCAAATGCCAGACAATCAGACCCCAAACACTCCCCAGCCCGCAGTCTCCTGTCCCCGTTGCCAGTTCCTTCTCCGATCCACAGGCTTCTATGTTTCTTGTCTTCTTTTTGGAAGAGAAAGCGATGGTCTGCCATCTTCAAATATGGATTTATCTTCGGTAAAGCTTTGCTTTATTACCAGAAAAAACAAGTAATATTTTAAAATGGTAGAAAATATGAATGGGTTAATAAAGCAGATTTAATTCTTCATTGATTAACATTGTAATTACTCTTCATTAAATTGGCATTGATTTTGGAACATTTGGAATAGTTTTTGAAAGTATATTTAATTTATTTGATGTGTGGCTGAAGTGGAATATTATTTAGAATGAATTAAAAGGTGTAATGATATATTTTGTACAAAGAAAATGTTTATTTTATACATCCTCTTCTTTATATAATACATACATATATCCTTCTTTAAATGCCAATGCCAAAATTATTTAGAAGAGATCTTTTTGGTTTATTTACTTTTATTCATGCTTGGATGCTTGCGCGTAACAGCTTTTATACCCGGCACTCAGTACTACATCTGCACTTTAGAGGTGTTTTGTCAAATTTCAAATTTTTCTTTCATCTTTCATCTATGTACATCTACAACACTTCTCACACCAACACGCTCTTTTAGCTCGCTCCCCTTCCCTAGACTGCAAATTAATTTCTTCATTCTGGCTATAATAATGATCCAATCCCAATTTGGCGATCTTATATATATGGTCATTCGCTAGGGAATGGCGTTTTTAGTTTTCTTTTATCTTCAAAATTGTAGATTTGGGAGGTTTACGCCCTTTTGTGGGAGGGGGCCTTTTTAAAATACACTTGTAACAGTGTGAGCATACAGAAGTCTGGATGCAAAATTTGGTGGCTCTAGCTTTTATGGTCTCTGAGATCCAGGCGCTCAACAAGACAGACGGACAGACGGACGGACAGACAGACATTGCTCAATCGAATCGGCTATTGATGCTGAACAAGAATATATGTACTTTATGGGGTCGGAAACGTTTTCTTCTGTGTGTTACATACATTCACTTTGTGCACAAATACAATATACCCTATTTACTCTTCGAGAACCGGGTATAAAAAAAAAATCTGCTTCAAGTTTCAGTTTAAATTGCAAATTTCCGTAAAATACCGAAAATATTCGATAAATAAATCACAAAGGAAATATGCACATTAAAATGGAAATATATCGTGTGCACATTGTGAGTGTCTTTGATCAGCCATCAAGTGGTTTTGATCGATTTATACAATCATAAAAATTCACCTACAGCTTGTCTATAATCAAAATCTCTCACTTTCTGTCTCTATCTCTCTCTTACCATCTCTATTTTTTCACTCTCTCTCCCTCTTTCTTTCTCTCTCACTCTGTGCTACTTGTTGCTGTTTTTGTTGTTCTGGGGCCATCAATTACAATGAAAAGTTTTCCCCCCCGCTCGTTCCGTTCTGTACCATCTGATCTGGCATTTGAGATCGGTTCGCGCCCACCCATAAATTTTGTTTGATCATTTTTGCTTGGCTGTGTGTGTGTTTTACGGAAGAATCGAAGATTTCCCACAGAAATAAAAATCTCAAACATGTTTGTAAAGTTGTTAGTACTGCTGGCTGCCACTGCCTGTGCCATTGCCTTCTTGGTTGATAGCAGAACATATAAATTAACATTTTGACTGCCAACTGGCGCGGCAAATGATCAAAGAATAAAACACTGTGCCGTCATCGTTCCGTTGATCATCGTCATCTACATCTTGGGTCGGCACAGGGAAGCACAGGAGTCAGGGAAACACAGCGGCAACAGCGAGATCATCATTCCATGTTTATGATCCATCAACACGAGCCATCAAATTGTATACAAACAAACGCAACGGAGATCAAAAGCCATGCTCTTTACACAGAAACGCAGAAACACATACGGAATCTGTGCTGCTGCCGAGCGCTCTACCTCTTTCTTTTTTCTTGTGCGGGATATGGTATTGTGATGTTAATGAGAGGTTTAAATCGCAAGAAATTAGAGTAGAAATTTCACCATTTATACTGATAGTGGGAACACAAAATGTATACATTTTCATTTTGATAAAGGATCTTTAAAGTTTCTAGTTATTATACTTGTTTTAAAGTCGATATTTTGAAATATAAAGTTGTGTAGGGATATTTATTTTCAAAGAGTTAAATCCCAAATGTATTTATGTATGTAATTTTACTGAAGACAAACGTTAAAAAAACAGGAAAAAAAAAAAATTATCTCAAAAAGATAAACAAAATGTATTAAATGATTACATATGTATATCCCATTTAAAATGCTGGTGGTTGCTGTGGATCAGTCTCCTTCAGTCGCCGAGAGAAGGATAGCAACAGGGAAATTCATGTGAATTCAGGGGTGAATATTTTGAAAAATTGATTTTTGGGATAAAATATCAATGGAATGTATCGTTGAACCAAGAAGAAAAAAACCCTCTTAAATATTATTAATATTATTCAAGTAGCTTCAAATATGAGGATCCTAATATCCTAATATTTTTCAATTACATAGGGTTCGAGAATAATTTAAGTATTCGCCTTATAAATACAATCTTTCGATATTCATTAATGATTTTCCTGATTAAACCCCCATAGGAATTCCTAGAGATAAAACTCACATACATTTTTTCAATTTACAATCATAAATCGTAACACATCAACCGAATAATACTAGAGTTCCAACACGCAACCCCTCTCTGCTGAAAAATCGACAAAGGCAAAAATCTGAAAATCTAACAATTTAGAAGGGAAGCACATGGTGGGGATTATAGAGAATCCAACAATGCCATCCAACGAATAGTGGAGTGTCATAACACCATTAGCCATATCAAATGTCAGAGCATCGTCAGAAAGCTGTAAATTTATATGTTGCACATTTCCGGCTATGGCGGGACTATGAGAGAGTATTGTGCAAATTTAATGCTTGTGAACGGCATGACAAATTAAATTTCAAACCCCTAAAAGACGTTAAAGAGGGATAGAGAAGGGAGAAGTCAGGCCAGCAGCACACCACCATAGCCATTACCATCAGGGGTCTGGGCTGTGGGCTCTGGTCGACAAGGAGCGACTCCAATAAAATGCAATTAGCCAGATTTATGATTATCCCCTGTTATGCACATATAATTTTTCGGTCTTACTGGTCGTTTCACGTACGCGATGCCTGAGACACGACACGACACGGAATAAGGAAAAAACCCGGGAACGAGAATTTATAGCACCAAAAGCAAACAACAAAGAAGACAAATCGCTTTATTCACGGTCGCCGCAAAACCCAGCCCTTTTCTGGCATGCACACACCCATCCATCCACCCCTTTTTCCATCATTTTTGATTTTCGATTTTCCTAACCTGGATAACTCTACATAGATTGGGCTGCAGGGAGGAAGAACGGCCCATGGGTCTGCCATCAACCGGAGGCACATAAAATCAAATGAAAATCTGTTTGAAATTCGATATCATTCATGGCACTCCTCACGCACTCTCAATCACGGCGGCACAGGGTACATAGTATGATGTACTCGCCTTTATTATAGGTTTTGATAGCTCTCAAGACGACCCCTTTCGGGGATAGGCCATTCAATAACCCAAAAGGTATTGATACTCGTAGTTTTTCCAGAGGTCATTGCTTTTGCTAATAAACTGAACCAATTAAAGTGAAGCTGTTAATAAGGGTAAGAA